AAAAAAAAAAAAAAAAAAAAAAAAAAAAAAAAAAAAAAAAAAAAAAAAAAGAGACAGCCACATCCCCCATGTCTTGAAATAATTGAAACTCTTCCCTATGGCATTCATTCTTGAACATAACATTGATTAGAAGGAAACTTTTTGTAATTATTGAGGAAAAGATGAAAAGAAACACAATCCCCTATTAATTTGCTTCTTGAAATTGTAATTAGGAGATGATTTATAAATTTAATCGATGAAAAATTGATGTAACGATGACCTAGAATGACGTAGCAGCAAATGGAACGTTCTCTTGTATTAAGTTTGAAAGAACGTCATTCATATATGTTAACCTAAGCCATTTTGCTAACTTTTCAAGAGGTTGTTCATCTTGGAGACTTGATGTGGTTATGAGTACAACCGGGCGTGGGAGACACTCGGTCGTCCTCTAGATTTTCAAGGACCTCCCGGGTGCACTGGATACCATGTGACGTGCGGTGCTCTTCCAACCTGTTGTACAATATTTAAGATTGACAAGATGGTTAGAGCTTAACGTTAGCTAATTAAGAGGAATATCACAAGTATATAAGTAAGAGACACTATCTCTATTGTCACGAGAGTTATGTTTGAAGTGGACAATATCATGTTATCGTCGAAATTTAATTTATTTTTGTGATATAAATAAGAGATCGGTAGAAGCTCATGTTTATTCTTTTCGACTAGACATATGAGATGTGTTTTTTTTTAATTCCCCTTTCAAATGATATGACAGTTTATATATATATATATATATAACATTAAAAGTGCAAATTATAACATCTTATCCTTCCTGCCTGATTTTGTGCATAAATATTTGAAAAAAAAATCATATTCAATAGTTTCAAATTCAAAATAAACCATGTTTTTTAAATTATTAATTTTTTAAAAAACTTAAATGAAGTAAAGGTGTTTATGGGCTTCGTTAGGTCGGGTCGGGTTAATACATTTATTACACACCACTAAATGAAGCTGCTTACAGGGACGGTTACGTGATACGTCTTTTCATACTTTGTCTTCTCTTTAACCTTGCTATCAACCTAATATAAATAACTCTTATTAAATAATGTACACAGCCAAATCCGACCACAATATAATTGGGTTGAGTGAGTTTGATTGGTTCGAGTCATTTATTCAAAATTTTGTTTTTAATAAAAATAATATATATATATATAAGATTCTCAATCCAAACGGTATGAATTAGGTTGGATTGTGTTAGGAATTACTGGATCTGCACTATGATATTGTCCACTTTAAGCATAATCTCATAGCTTGTTTTAGGTTTCTCGGAAAGGCTTCATCATGTCATTTAGATCATCATCATTGAACAAGGTTACTGTATTACCATCTTCATCTATATATCTGGTATCAAAGTCGTGTCCTAAACTTAGTCATGCCAATAAATTGACAAATTCTCACATGTCGAACAAAGTATTGTAAACCTCGAAGGTATAGTCAAAAAGTGACTAAAATATCGAACAAAGGGTGTACTTTGTTCGAAGACTTCAAAAAAAAAAAAAAAAAGGAGTCGAGATTTAGGGAATTATCATGGGTTTATAATCAAAGAATACTATCTCCATTCGTATGAGGTCATGAGATTTTATGTTCAAAGTAGACAATATCATACTATTGTGGAGATCCGTGATTCATAACAGTTTTTTGAATCACCAGATAATCATTGCAATTAAATTATCTCATAATGTCTCGATTAATTGAAACTTAAAAAACGTTATTTTTAAGCATATGATCCATTTTTAAAATTATTTTTAAATACACAAATATTAATAGTCTTACATGATATGACTACGTGTGGGAACAAACTCTTGCATTTTTTTCATACTGAATTTCTATAAATTTTTATATATTTATTTATGTAAAAAATGCTTTTTTATTTATTTTTATTTTGTGTTATGATTTTGTAGGGCATGTACAATACAAAAGTCCCCAACTTTTTTTATTTTTTTACTTTTGTTATGATTTTGGTGCTTAAAAAAAATGCTAAATTATAAAAATAACTATGTTTTAAAAAAAAATGGAATATTTACCTAGAACGACGTGACAATGATTACAACGTTGGTGTCGATTAACTTTGAAAACCGTCTCGGTTAACTTTGAAAGAAAAACATTCAAAACACTTAACTTCTCGTCTAATTCAGTTTTTTTTTACATTCAGTAAAGATTAAACTTTTAATATTGTTTTAGAAGTATTCTCGAACTTAAAAAAATTCGTTAATACCTTTATAAAAAAAAAAAAAAAAAAATTGCGTTTAACCCCCTTTACCTTTATAAAAAAAATTAAAATTCTTACGGTCAATATATGAAAGAAAATTGTCTGTCGACATCTTATAAAAGTTCATGAGTATTTTTGAAACGTGATACTAATGATACCGGTATTTTTTTTACAAAAAAAAAAGGTTTAAAAATATTAATGAAACCTTTTAAAATGGGAGTGTATTACTATTTTTGAAAATTTAAAATGTTATTTAAGAGTTTTTTTTTTTTTTTTTAAACCTTAATATGAGATAAAGTCTTAAATAAGGTAACAAAAGGATTCAATATGCTAATGCATGTTTTAGGGTTTATAATGTAAAATGCCTAATGCATGTAATATGCTAATGCTAATACATCATACATGCATTTTAGGGTTTAGGGTTTATAATGATGTTACAAAATTATTCTCGTTTCGTTAATATTAATTTTTACGAGGTCTTACGGAACAAATTATTTTTTTATAAGTGTGTGAAAATCCCTCATAATAAACACGTTTTAAAATTGTAAAGTTGACGACGATACGTGATATGAAATCAACCTAATGGAAAACTCTGATACCAAATGATACGAAAATCACTACAACGGAAGTAAGATTCGAATTATTTTGTTGATCGAATATCTCAAGGCAAGAATACTTGATTGAGATTCGAATCACTTCACAAGTAAGATCGATCATGTCTAGCTTGAATGATTCTTATTGGTCAAATATCTTAAGGCAAAAACACTTGTTTGAGATTCAAATCACTCTACAAGCAAGATTGATAGTGTCGAGCTTGAATGATTCTACATGCAACCTAAACTACATAGAACTACAAAGAAACTTAGTCATTGGCTAAATAAAGCACAAATGTTTCTTGTATTATATCTTCCAAGTCTCCTTACAAATACAATATACATGACTTTATATAGCTTCAAAATGAAACTATTAAAGACATTCCCCGAGTTGTAACCTTCATATTTTATGACCATAATTAATTATTATGTAAATGTAACTTAAAGTCTTCGAATATATTAATGAAATACAATAACTCTAAATTATAATCCACTCAAAATATATAACAATAAAACTTCATTCTTCTTCAATATAGCATGAATTGAAATATTTTTTGATAATTTCAACAACATTTTCTTCGCATCTTCGTTGAAGTATATTGTATGATTGATGTCTCTTGGTTCATATTAATACGTAACGGATGAAAACCGATAATATAAACTTACAAAAATAAATGTCATATAAAAATAAATAAATTAATTAAATTAAAATTTTCAACCGTGAAGCAGACACGCACCCCCACCTGGGGACACACAAGCAAAAAAATAAAGGCCGTACAAAGATCCCGCAATCTACGGTCAACTGGATGGGACGTCGGTGGTTGACACGTGCGCTTCTTTGTGGTCCCCACACTCCTCGTGATCCCACGTGGATCCATGTACTCCTTGTCGGCAACCGAGGACGCTGGCTTTACTCTCGTCTCAGCTCGACTCGGCTCGGTCGGCTCTGCCACGTAGGTAGAAAAGGAGCCGTGGATTTGGTTGGCAATGCCAACTCATCAATCGTACGGCTCAACATGTTTCCTTCCGACAAGGCGATGTTTTCCATCTTTGGTCTTTGTATCATTTGCTATTTTTAGGATTTAATTTCCTCGTGATTTGCTACTTTTATAATTTAATTTCCTCTAATTTAAATTAAAAATAAAATAAAACTAAACTTTTCCCAATTACTAATTTTATTTTTTTGCTTTTTAGTCCTTCTATTTTGCAAAAATTGCCATCCTTTCTTGTTTTACTTCTCGATCTTATTTCAATTCATTCTCTGTACTTTCAAATTTGTAACGATTCTGTCCCCATCGTAAAAATTATTGTTCATATTTAATAAAATATCTTACAAATGTATGTAGAAACTCGATATGTTGATTGGAGAGAGAAACGGAAAATTTCTTATAAGGGTGTGAAAATCTCTCCCTAGTAAGCACGTTTTAAAATTGTGAGACTGATGGAAATATGTAATGGATCAAATCGAACAATATCTGCTAACGATAAACTTTAACTGTTACAATATGTTTACAAGAGTTTCAAAGTCTCAATAGTTGAATAATAAA